AAATGTGGGGGGAAATTTCCCGAATTTCCCCTCACCCTTTTCTTTTCGAAAAATGTCAAAAACGGTCTCATCCCTTGATGCGTTGGTAGATCGTCACTTTCCCGACCATTGGCTAGATGATTGGTGGGGGNGTTGGTAGATCGTCACTTTCCCGACCATTGGCTAGATGATTGGTGGGGGAAAAATATGGGGGGAAATTTCCCGAATCTCCCCCCACCTTTCTTTTTTCGAAAAATGTCAAAAAATGTCTCATCCCTTGATTGGTTGGTAGATCGTCACTTTCCCCACCATTGGCTAGATGATTGGTGGGGAAATCAGGATGGGGGGAGATTTGCGCATCTCCCCCCACCTTTTTTTTTTCGAAAAATGTCAAAAAAGGTCTCATCCCTTGATTGGTTATTAAATCGTCACTTTCCCCGACATCGGCTTGATGATTGGTGGGGGAAAAAGGTGGGGGGAGATTCGCAATCCCCCCCCACCTTTTTTTTTTTTTAAATGTCAAAAATGTGTCATTTAATTATTGGATGGTAGATCGTCACATTCCCCACCATAGGGTAGATCATTGTTGGGGAAATCAGGTGGGGGGAGATTCGCTTATCTCCCCCCACCTTTTTATTTTGAAAAATGTCAAAAATGTGTCGTTTATTGATTGGTTGGTAGATCATCACTTTCCCCACCATTGGCTAGATGGTTGGTGGGGGGAAAAGGTGGGGGGAGATTCGCGAATCTCCCCCCACCTTTTTTTTTTCCGAAAAATGTTAAAAATTTGTCATTTAATGATTGGTTCGTAGATCGTCACTTTCCCCATCATAGGGTAGATGATTGGTGGGGAAATCAGGTGGAAGAAGATTCCCAAATCTCCCCCCACCATTTTTTTTTGAAAAATGTCAAAAATGTGTCATTTATTTATTGGTTGATAGATCGTCACTTTCCCCACCATTGGCTAGATGTTGGGTGGGGGAACAAGGTGGAGGAAAATTCGCGAATCTCCCCCCACCTTTTTTTTTTCAAAAAATGTCAAAAAAAGTCTCATCCCTTGATTGGTTGGTAGATTGTCACTTTCCCCACCATTGGCTAGATGATTGGTGGGGAAATCAGGTGGGGGGAGATTCGCCAATCTCCCCCCACCTTTTTTTTTTTCGAAAAATGACAAAAAGGTCTCATCCCTTTATTGGTTGGTAGATCGTCACTTTCCATACCATTGGCTAGATGATTGATGGGGGAAAAAGCAGGGGGGAGATTCGCCTCCACCTTTTTTTTTTCGAAAAATGTCAAAAAAGGTCTCATCTCTTGATTGGTTGGTAGATCGTCACTTTCCCCACCATTGGCTAGATGATTGGTGGGGGAAAAAGATGGGGGCAGATTCGCGAATATCCCCCCACCTTTTTTTTTTCGAAAAATATCAAAAATGTGTCATTTAATGATTGGTTTGTAGATCGTCACTTTCCCCACCATAGGGTAGATGATTGGTGGGGAAATCAGGTGGGGGGAGATTCGCAAATCTCCCCCCACCTTTTTTTTTTGAAAAATGTCAAAAATGTGTCATTTATTGAGTGGTTGGAAGATCGTCACTTTCCCCACTTTTGGCTAGATGATTGGTGGGGGAAAAAGGTGGGGGGACATTCGCGAATCTCCCCCCACCTTTTTTTAATCCGAAAAATGTCAAAAATTTATCATTTTGTGATTGGTTGGTAGATCCTCATTTTCCCCACCATAGGGTAGATGATTGGTGGATCGTCATTTTCCCCTTTACCTTTTTTTTTCGAAAAATGTCAAAAATGTATCATATATTGATTGGTTGGTAGATCGTCACTTTCCGCACCATGGGCTAGATGTTTGGTGGGGGAAAAAGGTGGGGGGAGATTTGCGAATCTCCCGCCACTTTTTTCTTTTTCGAAAAATGACAAAAAACTCTCATCCCTTGATTGGCTGGTAGATCGTCACTTTCCCCACCATTGGCTAGATGATTGGTGGGGGAAAAAGGTGGGGGGAGATTCGCGAATCTCCCCCCACCTTTTTTTTTCCGAAAAATGTCAAAAAATGTATCATTTAATGATTGGTTGGTAGATCGTCACTTTCCCCACCATAGGGTAGATGATTGGTGGGGAAATCAGGTGAGGGGAGAGGGGGGAGATTTGCGAATCTCCCCCTACTTTTTTTTTTTGAAAAATGTCAAAAATGTCTCATTTGTTGATTGGTTGGTAGATCGTCTCTTTCCCTACCATTGGCTAGATGAGTGGTGGGGAAAAAAGGTGGGGGGAGATTCGCTCCACCCACCTTTTTTTTTCTGAAGAATGTCAAAAAAGTGTCATTTATTGATTGGTTGGTAGATCGTCACTTTCCCAACTATTGGCTAGTAGATGATTGGTTGGGAAATAAGGTGGGGCCTTTTTTTTTTCGAAAAATGTCAAAAAAGGTTTTATCCCTTGATTGGTTGGTAGATCGTCACTTTGTCCACCATTGGCTAGATGATTGGTGGGGAAATCAGGTGGGGGGAGATTCGCAACTTTTTTTTTTGAAAAATGACAAAAAACTCTCATCCCTTGATTGGTTGGTAGATCGTCATTTTCCCCACCATTGGCTAGATGATTTATGGGGGAAAAAGGTCGGGCTACCTTTTCGAAAAATGTCAAAAATGTGTCATTTATTGATTGGTTGGTAGATCGTCACTTTTACCACCATTGGCTACTAGATGATTGGTGGGGAAATAAGGTGGGGGGAGATTCGCGACTCTCCCTCTGCCTTTTTTTTTTCGAAAAATGTCAAAAATGTGTTAAATATTGATTGGTTGGTAGATCGTCATTTTCCCCACCATTGGCTTGATGATTGGTGGGAGAAAAAGGTGGGAGGAGATTCGCGAATCTTCCCCCACCTTTTTTTTTCGAAAAATGTCAAAAATATGTCATTTATTGATTGGTTGGTAGATCGTCACTTTCCTCACCATTGGCTAGTGGATTCGCGAATCTCTCCCCACCTTTTTCTTTCGAAAAATGACAAAAAGGTCTCATTCCTTGATTGGTTGGTAGATCGTCACTTTCCCTAACATTGGCTAGATAGTTGGTGGGGAAATTATGTGGGGGGAGACACCTTTTTTTTTTTCGAAAAATGACAAAAAGGTCTCATCCCTTGATTGGTTTGTAGATCGTCACTTTCTCCATCATTGGGTAGATGATTGGTGGGGAAATCAGGTGGGGGGAGATTCACCCCACCTTTTTTTTTTCGAAAAAAATGTCAAAAAGGTCTCATTCCTTGATTGGTTGGTAGATTGTCACTCTCCTCACCCTATAGGAGATGATTGGTTGGGAAAGTAGGTGGGTGGATGATTGGGGGGGGGTACAGCGATCGGGTCGGGCATGGGAAAGGAGGAGGTGGGGGGGGGAAGAGTGTACGGCGTTCCCCCGCTCCCTACCCCGCCGATAACCGGTGGGGGTACGGCGTTTTCGGAATGTCGTACCCCCTCTGGTTGTTCGCGGGGGAGGGAGCAGGGATACGGCGTTCTCGAAACGCCATACCCCCGCTATGTTCCCCGCCGATGATTGGTGGGGGTACGGCGTTTCGAAAACGCCGTACCCCCTTGCACTTTTGTGTCGGTAGGGGAGCGAGGGATGAGGGAGGTGGCGGGCGAGGGTGCTGTGAGCATGTTCTCGAAATGCCGTACCCCCACTCCCTCCCCCACTGATGATTGGTGGGGGTACAGCATTTTCGGAACGCCGTATTGCCTCTGGTTGTCGGCGGGGAAGGGAGCGGGGGGGTACAACATTTTCGAAACGTCGTACCCCCTCTGGTTGTCGGTGGGGAAGGGAGAGGGGGTACGGCGTTCCGAGAACGCCGTACCCTCTCTCCCTTCCCCGCTGACAACCGGAGGGGGTACGGCGTTTTGAAAACGCCATACCTATCCGGTTCTCGGCGGGGGAGGGAGCGGGGGTACGGCGTTCTCGAAACGCCGCTCCCTCCCCCCCCGAGAACCGGATGGGGTACGACGTTTTGAAAACGCCGTACCCCCTCTGGTTGTTGGCGAGGGAGGGAGCGGGGGTACGACGTTCTCGGAACCCCGTACCCCCGCTCCTTTCGCTTCCCGGAAACCGGAGGGGGTCCGGAGGTTCGAGAACGCCGTACCCCCTCCGGTTCGAGGTGGGGGGAGGGAAGGGGGGTGCGGCGTTATCGTAACAGAGCCGTCCCCCCTAGGACCTGTATGTGGATAGAGCCGAAGGGGTACGGCGTTTTGAAACGTCGTACCACCGCTCGTTTCGCCTCGAGGCAATCGGAGGGGGTGAGGCGTCTTCAAAACGTGATGCGATAGTGAAAGGTTTGATATCTGAAAGCGATCCAGTCTTCTGTTCGGAATGTGCCAACCATCAGGAGGAGCATCTGTTGTCCCGGAAAAGAGAGTCTATAAGACCTGCTCAATGTATAGAGATAGGGAGTGGCCCCTTGATTGGGTGCGGGGCCTACACGAGGCGGGATGTGGGGCCGCTGTGTTTCTGAAGACCGCCACGGGCGACGACTGGTTCTGTGTTGGAGGGATTATTAAATCCGAGGATGAGAGGGCGGACGGGCATGGACGGAAGTTCAGAAGGTTTTTCCTCACAACGGTGTACGACGAACAGGGAGTGGACCATGCGAAGGTCGACCATAAAGTCAGCCTTGATTACAATTTGTTCAAGGGGTATGGAGGTAAGGCGATTACCATAAAAGCCTTCGATGTCTCCCCGAAAGAAGACAGGAGTGTGTTGACGATGCTTGGCCCCGTGAAATTCCTCGCCAAAACGAACGGGTACAGGAGATCCGGAAACAGTCCCACGGTACAGGCCGAGCATCGTATGTCTTCGACACTCGTGCCTTTTGACACGCCGGACAAGGATCTCCCCGGCATAGCAAAGAAAGAGAGACAGAGGACGCCACATTGTTTCCCAACGCAGCAGACATCAGCGGGTGGAAGCTGGCGCCTCAACAAACAGACCCAGCCGCGTCATCAGCCTGACGAAGGGGCTCGTGGTCCTCCAGTGGAAATGACCCACCAGATGGAATGTGCAGGACCATCTCAGCCGTCCACCCAGCAAGACGAAGGCACCCCTGTCATTACATACCGAAGAAAGGCCTTGACAACTGGTCCGTCTGCTGCCCGCCAGAAAGACTATGGTGGTGCGTCCGGGAGGGCGGCCCTGCGGGAGATAAGCGAAGGATCGGACAAGGAAACGGAGGATGATCCTGGGATTCGTGTTGATCGGCATCCACAGGGTAATCATGCCGTTGACGATGAGGAATGTGGGGTCGAAGAGGACGATGTCGAAGAGGAGAAAAACGAGAGAGAGAGAGAGGGAGAGGATCGTGAGGAATCTATGCACGACTGCGAGGACGGGGAGTCTCGACAGTACGACGAGGGGGACTATGGGGGCGATGGAAAAAACGATGATGCCTATCCTGGCGATGATGAGGATGGAGGGCAAGAAGGGTCCGCTGATGTGGAGGTCGATGAGGGAACAGGAGATCGGTCGGAGGGCATTGTGCACAAAAGGAAGCGGCGATCTTCAATAAGTCCAACGGCGACGACGGATAAACGCGCTGCAAAGAGACTCACTGTCGCTGCATCTCGAGAGGCACTCAGAGGTTTTGAAGAGGCGGTCGTTGAAAACGTGAAGAACCGAAAAGGGAAGGCGCCAACCAGGACGACAAAAGCGGAGAAACGTCCACTGAAAAGAAAACAGATGGTCGGTGAGGGTGATTCCGGAGAGGACGCCGAAGGGGTTGCTCCAAGGGCTCCGTCGGAACATACACAACCTTCCGCCGACACCTGTTATGACGCCATCAACACAACACGGTGCTTCTTCTTGGAGCTCGATGAGGATGGGTTTGCGAAGAAGAATCGGGAACACATTCAAGTGGATGTAACAAAGATCTTGCCAATTCTTGAAGGTGACATCCTCTTCAACCATAGAACATTTAACGAAACGTTAGTGCAGTCCATATATGATGCGATCCATTATGCGGCTAAGGAAACCAACTGGAAGTGAGATATTATGACTTTCATCATGGCTCCCATTGTACCGAAACGGGACGGCTCTCAAGGTAGACAGATCACACCGAATGAATTCGACGTCGCACTGGCTCATACATACCACTGGTATGCTGTTGCCGGCCAGCACACGGCTGAGGCAAAGAACAGACTCATTAAGGACAAGTCACCGGCCGAGAAAGTGTACGACTTGAGGTTCTACTCTGACGTACGCGTTGTCTACTTTGACGACGACACAAAGAGAGGATATCCGTACGTCTCGTCATTCGACAACACGAGGGAGGAGCGTTCCATCCCGAGATCGTTTTCGTCGTCTGTGCAGCAAATCAGAAGATTTAGGGATAAGAGGAATGACCAGATCCGTCCTCCAGGCACCGTGTCCCCAAATGACGTCGAGGGAATGAAATGGAAAAAGAAGTGGGAAGCGTTCATGAACACCGCCTGCAAAATGACACCTGATTCCGGTCTCATGAACTCGTCCCTGGAGAACGACTACTGCAAGGACTGGACGAACAAGATGCGCGGATACATGAATCTTGCGCAGTGCGGCGAGACGGTATGGCCACTGGTAGACAAATTCTTTGACATGTATGAGAAAAAACTATTGCCAAGAATCGACGATGTGAGATATGTCAATCTGCCGGGGAAAGTGGAAGGGAGGCTGCCTGGGCAATACTTCCTCAAGGACAACTCCGGCAAAAAAGTCTTGTACCACTGCATCAAGGCCAGAAAGGGGCCGCATGGCGCAACGGTGTCTATACCGGACTTGACGCCCTCAATGTTTAAGTTGTTTGGCGATATGACAGCGAGAGAGAAGCAAGTGGTGCTGCACCACATGATGCATGGTGATGTCATCGTGACATCACGTACAGTACCTCGTGGTAGATGCAACATGGCGGACCTGGTAAAATATACTCGTCGTGAGAGATATATGGTCTGTATGTTCAACTACATATTGTTCAAGGTCGAGGGGAGGTCAAAGCAAGAGTGGAACGCTTACTTCTTCATCGTTTATACGACCATCTTGGAAAGGTACAGCAAAAACGGCCTCACTGACAAGAAATGGACCGAGGAACGAGACCGCATCCTTGACGATAAGGTGAGGAAGGTGCCGAGGCGTTTGGCCGGTCCTGATGAGATTGATGGCGGGAACGGTGCGGGGTTGGAGGCAACCCGAACCATGTACAAGGAAACCCCGTTCCACCTCAATTGTTTCATCTACGAGGCGATCGATTGCTTGGACGACTTGAGAGCGGAGGTTAATCGGATATCCTCCAATGCTCGTCACATCTTTTGGGAAGTGGGGAAAAGGATTACCACAATCCTGCCATTTGAAATCGAACCGAAGGGAGTGCTCACCGACAACGAGGAGGTTGTTGGTACAGCGAGTGGGATGAAGATACGACCAATCATTCTCGATATGTCAACATCACAAAAATGTGTTTTGTGGGATGATGACGCATTTTCCGAACTGCACGCTTTCCTCATGACATGCTGTGGCGAAAACTGGGCCTTGATCATTTTCGCGCCGATGAAGCACCACAAACAGGTGATGCAGAGTGTGTACAAGTGGGACGATGTTGAGGTGCTCACTGGGTCATGGTACAGACACTACACACCTTCGACAACCGTGAACAAGTATGGCAACATTGCAGTTCGGTACATTGATATGATGGCTATTGTCCTCCACGCCGAGAACGGCAATTTCAACAATATAACGGTTGCGCCGAAATTGCGAGCCGAATTGACAAATTTTAACATTGAAGAGGGTGAGTTTGTGAAGTGCTCAAAGGAGTGTATCGGCGTGGAGGGTGACACTGATGCGGTTTATTCTTGGATGGAACGAGAGCCTGCACGTCTCTGAAAGCTATGCAGCTCATTCATCAGGGAGGATGACGACGTGATGCTGCTGGGCAGGGCGCATGCTGGACTGATTTGGGAACTGGCTCGCGCCGGACACCACGTGTTTACGTGTGGCGACACGACAAAAAAACTCACATACCTTTCCAAGTTTTTGGACTTCTATGTGAAGGATCCGAGGAACAGATGCAGGTTCGAAAAGCCCCAAGTCGAGCACCGCAAGGAGCGGGATATATACTATAAGCTCCGTAGAAAGAGGGAGAAAGTGTGGGCTTACTTGTTCGGTGACGCTCCACAGTCGGCGGTTGATAACGACTACGTCATCAGGAAAAGCGAACTCGAGATAGCAATGAACGAGTACCACGGCTCGCACATGGGTGCTTTCCACATGTTCGTCGCACGTTGTGAGCATCTGTATTTCAATATAAAGAAAAGAGCACTGTCAGGTCGGGACTATGCAGACTTGGCACGCAAAGCCGACAACTTCAACAACATCGATTACGACGAAGACACGTCAGACTCCGACCTCGACGTCCCGTCGCGCGCGGCACGAGGTGCGGCGGAGAGAGCGAGTGGCGAGGAGCCGCAAGGGAGCACCAACGGACCTGCGGAGAAGGCGAGTTCGAGTATGAGAGCAACACGTGCGAGTGAGGGAAATGTGGAAACAAGAATGACTGGAAGGGGAGAAAGGAATGGTGTACCAACAAACGCGGTGGGTGCGAGTGAGGGGATAGTTAACTCACAGGGCAACACAGGGGGAGGAGAGAATGGGTGTGCAATGGCCCCGCCGACAGCTGGGCCATCATCGACATATGCACCGCAGGCCGAGCAACGAACACTCACGTCCATGGACACCGATGAAGACAAAGAGTTGGATATGACAGCACTGACCCCGAAGCTCGTGCCAGGAAGACCGTTGCCTCAAGGCTTTGCCCCAGATCCTTCAGTGCCATACTTGCTGCAGGACAAGTACAAAGAGTCATTGGAGGAGGATTGGGATCATCATATTATCTGGCATGAGGGTGTGTTCGAATCGTGTGTGTTTGCAGGCAAGTGGCAAATGGCTGTGAAGACAAGTGACCGAGGGTGGGTCGCGAAGGAAAAAAAAGACGCTGCGATATGGCACAGCGTGACGGAAACGCAAATTTATTGGCGAGTTTTGAAAGAAAACATCAGTGCAAGCGAGGAAGCTATAGCGGCAAAGGCGAAAGCTTTGTTCGAGCATCTGCGTGCGAACAAAAAGCTAGAATTCAGCACAAAGTTCTACGACCTTGCATCAAGTGTATCATACGGCTCCATCAATTGCAAAATCGAATTGGCTTCAGCAGTACAAGGAATCGATAGCATCAACTCTCTGAAGACTCAGGACGTTATCGCATCTAACACCATCATTGCGATTGCCAGAGGGGATCCAGCCTGCGAAACGGACACACGTGCGAACGCAGGTCACGTGCAGGATGAACAGCAGCGAGCATGTGCTTAACAAAGCACTCCGAGAAGCGCAATGAGGGATTCCACAATGATACGCAAGGACGGCGACGACATGGAGTCGGACGCATTGACAGAGCAGCCAACAGGGGGGGTCAACGATGGGACAACAAACGTTGGATCTTTCGAGTCTCTTGTAGTGACAATGGCCGCGAGGCAAGGCATATCTGAGATCATGGAGACCGATGCTGGCCAGGATGATGAAAGTCAGGCGGTGAAGGTGCCACAAGAGGAGGTGGCAGCAACAACAGAGCAGGCAACGAAAGGTGAGGGATCCCGCAAAAATATTTCCATAATAGATATGACATGGGAGAGTACGGGCGAGGATATGATCCAAGCGAAGAAACAAAAAGATGACAACAATGCGCCAAGAGTTGAAGGTGACCACGAAAGGACGTGCAACAACTAAGACAGTCGACGAGGCCAGTGATTAAGAAAGTTGTAGTGGATGCGTATACATTGCTTAGATGGTCATGGACGTTTACACGGTTCAGTTATATAAATGTGTTGCCGCAACTCATTAGGTTTGAAAACTATGTGAGACAGGAATGGGTGTCTACACGTTATAGGTTATACTCTTGTGTTATTGGAAGTGTTATTGTGACAGTGCAGTTCTCGAAATTGCACTATCGATCATAGAGGGTGACCCATATGGATACGCAAATGTGTGTGTGTGTGTGTGTGTGTGTGTGTGTGTGTGTGTGNGTGTGTGTGTGTGTGTGTGTGTGTGTGTGTGTGTGTGTGTGTGTGTGTGTGTGTCTGGGTTAGAGTACGCAGAGGTTGACTCGTTAGCAGCGCTAGGTTCTGTGTGTGGACTAAATTATGTGTACGTGTTTGGTACAGTTTTATAATGAAGGTATATGAAAACACAGTATATGGGGCACTTTGCCAGTCATGTGCAAATGACACCTAAGATTTCAGAGAACTTGTTATGCCATGTTGTAGTGTACTGCGAATATTATGAACTTATTTTGAAAATTCTACCAATAGTAATGAACATGATCAACAGTGAACAGATGGAAGCAGGGTTACCGATAACCACCATAGATTGCGATAAGTTTCACTGATCGATCTCCTCCTAAAAAACAGACGCTAATTCGGTAGGAATTGTAGCTGTGTTATACGGCATATTACGCGGAAGGGTGGAGGTCGGGGTGTTTATGTATACTCGATATAGTATCATGTTCGCAGGATTTAGCAATTGAAATTTTGAAGGCCGTTTCGGGCATGCAAATATGGCAAGCCCCAATATTAATAGCTTACGTTGGCGCATAATGCATTGTCATCAGCAGAAAGGACGAACATAGAAGAAGTACGAAGATGCAAACAGGGATGGACGATCCACTTAGCGACGGATAAGTTGTCGGAGAAAGAGAAGGCTACGGTACAACGTTTACGAGATTCAGTGCAAGTGGAGAATCGAACGGTCTACACATGCACGTACAACGGGGCAACAAAAGAAGAACTAATACTAACCGGGCATGATTTGAGCTTGATATTGCTTAAAGGCAAATGGTTGAACAACGAAATAGTTAACTTTTATTTGAACCTCATTAGGCTTGACAACATGTGTCGCATAAGTCATCGCGAGTGTGACAGTGGACAAGACGGAACTGTAGTAGAAGGAAAAGGGCGCATCCCGATAGCAACAATTTTTAGTTCCTTCTTCTTCGTGAAATTGTTCGATGACGATATGCAATACATCTATAGCGCAGTGCGAAAGTGGATGACAGATATCGATGTGGGCGACGTAGACTTAATAATAGCTTTATTCCATATTCGGATGTCCAACCATTGGACACTAGTAATAGCGGACTTGAGACGCCAGAAAATGGAGTACTACGACTCGCTTACCCTTGACAAAGAATTCGCAAGGAAAGTGACAGGTGGTTTCGCAAGATTTTTGTTCGAAAGATCAGTTGAACAGGGTAAGGTGGTAGATACAAAAGATTTCAACCACATATGGAATGTGTTAGGCATTCCTAGACAGCGTGACATTAACAAATGCGGTGTGTTTATGCTAACATACATGTCACTATTGGCAAGAGGATTTCTCCCGCCGTTCAACTTCTCTTTCGACGACATCCAGGATAAAAGGGGACAGATCGCTTTAGGTGTACTTGTCACACCGAACTAGGGGTGACTTGTGCAACAAAGGACATATGATAGACGACATTATCAAAGCAAATCACTTGTTAATATTGTGCAAATGTAAAGAGTTTATCAGCTATGCTAGATAGACACCCATGAACATGTTCGGATGTATTTAACAAAGAAACAGCGCGACATGCCCGATTGAACACCATTACTATGTTACTCAGCTGTGCTCGTACCATTGCTACCCCTTACCCCTTACCTCTTACCCATATTACTCCTTATCCCTTACCCCTTACCCCTTACCCCTTACCCCTTTACCCCCTTACCCCCTTACCCCCTTACCCCTTTACCCCTTTACCCCCTTACCCCCTTACCCCATAACATACTTAATAAATTACATACAAAAAATCGCAAAAAAAAAAACTTTCAATTTCGTGCAAAAATTAAAAAAATGTTCGTTTTAACGAAATCGCTGTTAAGAACGAACAGACGTGGTAAAAGAGAGAGAAAGGCATGACGCTGCCTCGACAGAGCAACGGAGGTGGCTACACGGGTAAGCATGCACTTTGAAGAGAGGATTCATGTCTCAATGATGGGGATTCTACAGGAAATTAGGAATAATGGAGCAAAAGGGAGTGTGAGGATAAATGGAGGAACGAAATGGTGCGAGAAGTGGTCTGTAGTGAAACGGTGCTACGGTTTTTCTGAGATAAGATAGGAGGATAGTAAGATAACTTGAAGCTAAAAGAGGTAAAGGCACTAACGTGTGAAATTCTGAGAGTGCTGTTCCGAGACAACAAGAAGAAATTTGAATTGTTAAATGTGCTACTAAGAATTCCTATTTACTGAAGGACTCTATACCAACGGACTTTTACGATCGACAAGTTAGTGCGGTTATACTATGGAGTAGAGCAATTCAAAGTAAAGAAGGATAGGGCGGTACTATGGGGAGTGATTACGCGCACGATCAGATCGAAGTCTAAGGTCAACGTGAGAAGAAGGTTGGTGATTAGAATAACCTACGAGGAGGGAATTTAGACTTCATGAAATTAACAGATGTTGTAAAGTGAAAGTTAGACTTGCGTGTGAGAGCAAGACGGTTGTCGAGTTTGTGCGCAGAGAAATGAGGATAGTATGGGCAGGGACGAGGTCAGTTGGACAGCTATTACACAATTATCGACAAATGGCAAGAAGACAAGTAGAAGGTATCACATGCGGATGCTCGAAATCGAATTATCCAAAGAACGGTGAAGGGCACATGTACCGGAATTGATGAAGAATTTGAAAAACGTCCCTGTTCCGGAGAAGCGGAACAAAAGAAGGTTAACAGGGCGATTGAACGATGTGCTCGAAGAATTCTTTGGAAATACAAGATAGAAGTCCTCCAAGCAGAAGCGGTTACTGTGTTTCCAAGAAACTTTGTTGAGCACGGCAATCGAGGTAAACGAGGTGTTAAGCGTCAAGGCATAACTGCATGAATTTGCTATGTCTCCTATTGACCACAACCAAGGAGACACTCTCGTGTGTTGGCCGAGGATATATAGAGAAGCGATGTAATCTATGTTTGTAAGGAATGAAGGTTTTAGAATTTTGATTGAGAACGAGACGCAAGTAATAGCAAAAAGCAAGGAAATATATTTCAGGGAGGACTACTTTAAGACGGCAAAGTGGGACCATAAATTATCCCAAAGCATAAGGACGTTGCGAGATGGCGACCCATATGCCCCTCGTTCAACAAATCAGGTGGGAGAATGTGCAGACTTGTTGGAAATGTGATTAATCACATGTTGTGGACTTCACCCAAGAGCTCCAATTTCAATTTGAAAAGTACAAGGAATCTGGTCGAAACAGTGGCATCGACAAACAAAGCAGCAGCTACAAGGGGTGATGGTTGGGCCATGAAAGGGGGTAGCTTCGACATCAAGGACATGTTCTCGAAGTTGCCGCATGATGCAATTTTGTTGGTTGTCGAATGGGTGATTGAATTTTATGAGAGCGTTGGTCAGAATTATGTAAGAATTCAACTTAAAGGAAAGGGTGCCACGTTCGGAAGAGCTGCAGGAGAAGTAGGATGGAAAACCCTAGCTTTGAAAACAGTAATTAGATTCGTAAGGTATGATTTGCAGAATACATTCATTATGGCAGCTAAGCAGCTGGTAAGGTTTTGCAGCAGGAGGTTGGAATTCCAATTGAAAACATCAGCAGTCCTGCTCTGGCATTCTAGTTATGTGCGCATTATGAATGCAGATTTTTGGCATCGCTAGGAGCAGACAAGAAGTTAATCCATGTATGCAGATAAGTCGACGAGTTGATTTTTACAAGTTTTAGAACAGAAAAATCAGACGATCTCGTGAAAGCTACAAAAATTATGAAAGATTTTCAGAAATGTTATCACGAAGGACTGAAGGACTGACGCTGATGTGAACGAAGGAGAACAATAGGACGTGGCCTTTCCTAGGTTGTGAGGTCAAAATTATAATGTATCTCCCGAATGTCACTTGTGTTGCGGGAACCGCAAATGGACCAGATCTTTTAAAAAGGGGGACCTATTATTTACCCTGAACTCCAGAATTTTGGATCATATACGGCTAGACGAATGAAGAAGGCGGTAATAACGGGTTGCTTACGCAAAATTTAGGATCATACGTTGGTAAAAGCGGAGGTTGGACCGACGCTGTTGGGATTGATGATAAAATTAAGAATGAGGTGTTTCCCTGCACGATTGTTCGACATGGAGCTGAGGAAGTTCTTTAAGAAAAAGGATGGGGCCTTGGACGAATGGGTATAAGCGCTATGTGGATGGGATCAGTAGCGGGCACGAGACAAGGCACGACCTCGGTTGCATGGGCGGAGTTTTGAAAGCGTGCCACGAATATTGTCCTATTCAAGCGTGGGTATGGGCGAGATCCGGGTACCGGAGCAGTTTTACGGGTCAGGAACGAGACTTGAGTAGGGTAGAGGTCGTTTTTGGATCCCTAGGTACCAGTTGTACTCGGCCACATTTTTTCAAAATTTGAACAATACCGAGGGT